AGATAACTGCAGCCTGTAAATCTCTTGACAAAGATTTTGCTTCTGTCTGGTCCCCTGTAAGGAAACCTCACCTGCCGAGGAAAAGGAAAACATTACATGGAAATTTCTGGTGGCTGTTTTTAATAAAGAAAGGTTAGAGAAAATCATGATTTGTATTTTTAAGTCACTTACAGACATTAAAGTCTGGGATAAGAGAACAACACTACTGCCTGTTGGAGAAAAAAGTATTTTAAAAAATGTTTATCACCTGCCGCCAATGTTAGAGGTACTATTTTTTTCTGTGTGTGTTCACTGGTTTACTGTTAGGCATCAGGCGATACGTATTCCTTTAATGAATTAATGGCACATGATGACAATATGGATCAATGTTTTCATTTTGCCTTGATGAATCATTAATCATTTAATGCAGGGGTGTCAAACTCCAGTCCTTGCAGGCCGCTATCCTGTATGTGTTAGAGGTTTTCCTGCTCCAACACACCTGATTCAGTGATTAAATTAACTCTTCAAATTGGGCAGAACCCTTTTAATTACCCAGCTATCAAAATCAGGTGTGTTGGAGCAGGAAAACCTCTAACACATGCAGGATAGCGGCCTGCAAGGACTGGAGTTTGACACCCCTGATTTAATCCATATATCGCTGTGGATTGATTTTACACCCCTATTATGTCGCAGAACACCCCAAATATTGGGCAATGATTTCTTGGCACATGTTGCATAAACACTGTTTTATTTTTTATTAGAATAAGGAGAAAACTCTGGACACAGCTGTGGAAGAAAATGTCATGAAGGAGGAGGAAGAGGGTACAGGCCCAGAGGGTCAAAAACACAAAGCCTACCTCGTTTCATGAGTCACCTCCCATCAAAGGAYTTATCCTCATCTATGTAACGAGAGGAACAATATTCTGTCAGCACCTAATGTGGAGAACATTTGGCTTCTTGCGAACCCACGGCTTACATCTCAGTTCATACTAGTGTATAAAGCAATTCACTGTCATGATACATGATATTGAACAAAAACAGCTCCATCATAACAAAAAGACAAAAAAATTATCAGAGAACAAAAAAAAAAACAACAAAGAACTCATCTGCCGTTCAATAGTTTAATCAGATCAAAAGAAATAAACTAAACACAAGTAATAAGAATAAACTAGTTAGCATTTTCTGCAAAAAATGCAGTGTAAATGGTTAATGCTGGAAGATTTTTGCAGAAAGAAAGATGTACAAAAATTTTGCAATTTGTTGTAAAGTAGCCAAAAAGCTAAAACTAGCAATAAATAAATAAATAAATAAATAAATAAATAAATAAAT